GACCCGACCCCGGATAGGCGGAAGAAAATGGATGGATGGATGGATGGATGGATCTCATAGTTATGAGATCAAGAGTCCTAGTTTTTTTTATTTGGTGAATGCAATGCTCTTCCATTGAATGCTTTCTTCGAGAAAAATATTTTTAAATAAAGTGAAAGTTTTTTTTAAAACATCAATACAAAGAAATCTGAGTTCAGGAGTGTAAAAACCAAAAAACAAACCAACCATCTCACGAAGATCAACAGTTTCATATTTGAATGCCTAAAATGTCACCAAGTATGCAACACACGTACAAAAAGTAAATATGAGAAGAATAGAATTAATGCTGACTCAGCATTTACACAACCAGAGAAGTTTAATGTTTGACAGTGAAACGTGCGACAAACGTTTGGTCGCTCACCACAGCTCTGTTCATCAGCACCATCCGGACAGTCCTGGATGCCATTGCAGTGTGCTGCAGCAGGCAGGCAGGTACTGTTGGAGCAGAGGAAACCTTTACAGTGGGCTCCCTCTGAAGACACAAAACATCAGTAAGTATGACTGCTTTATAAACAAAAACACATCACTGTCATTTACAGAACATCACAATATTTATATCTAATATGACTTTAACAATAAGATGAGAAACAGTTTATTATTAATGATGTTAAAGCTTTTTTTCTTGGTGTAGATCATTGATCTATATTACTGGAGTGGACATCACTTATAGCCACTACAGCTAGCGACGCGCCGTCACAGGAGCCATTGTTCTGCATTGAGTCATGTCAACAAAACAGTAGAGTTTCAATGTGGGATGTGCGTCAATCTGTCACAAAAATATTCATAGCACCCTCATTTCTTATCTGATTACTATAAAATATGGCTTCAATCAAAGCTGAGAAAATTGCCGATGTTGTGATATGTAAAAATATGTATTTGTTCAAGAGATAAATCTATAAGAAGTCTGGGAACTTTTCATAATAGGTTTTTGCTACCGTATTTACAGTAGAAGCCCCTTTCCATCAGATAAATCTAAGAGTCATGCGTGTCACAAACTACAGGATATACCATCTGCTGACTGGACAGAACTTCAGTACCAGTAATATCTACACAGTTCAGCCTAGTAGTAGTTAGTACCTCCTGCTGTAGTGTTTACAGACTCAAACCCAGTCACTGTGGCACTCAGTGATTTATATTACTGATTGGACATCACGTGACTTATCCTGCTCCACACACAGGAACCATTGCTCTGCATTGAGTTTTGACTGGGGAACATCCATGAATGGTGGTAAAAAGGGGATGCAGCAGATAGTCGTGCAAGGAATATCAAAAAGAGTTGCAATATTTTTACATAAATTGTCAACACTACAACAACAACATCAGGGTTATCACATTTTACAGGTCATTAAAATATTTTTTATTTAAAAAAATGTCAGAGATGTAGAAAGTAGATCAGTTATGCTGCTTGATTTTGACAACCTTATGTCAGGTAAACCAATGAAAAGACAAATTTGCTGTTGCAATAAATTATTATATTTTTTATTAATATTGTTATTCTGTTAGGATGACATTGTGAGAGGTAAATATAATGGACAACAGTAAATTTACCTTTACTACTACTAGGCCTGTGTATTGGCAAGAATTTGACGATACGATACATATCATGACAGAGGGGTCACGATACGATATATCCTGATATATTGCGATACTGTAAACAAGGCGATATATTGTGATTTTTTTGCTCAAAAATTATATTAAATAAAAACCTCTTACTGGGGGAAAAATGAAAAACCAAAATTCATTGTCTCAGAAAATTCTAATATTACAGACATACTTTTGATAAATTTAGCTGTTCTGCTTTGTATGAGTT